CACAAATGCAATGCCAGCCTTTAAGGAAGGAGTATGCTCTTTTTTGAAGGTTTTTGGGTTGTATTCTTATACATTTTATATCCAAACTACATACAAACATAAGACAATTAATATGACTACATGTGTATACTGCTTTAACCAACTATCGAACATAACATCTAAAGTTATTTGGTCCCTTCAATGACATTATATCCGGTTTAGACTGTATATTGCTAAAAAATTAAAGAGTGCTTCACTCACATTTCCAATAGCAAGTAAACCCTTATCAAACAATAATAATACTCCGAGGAATAGGAATGTCATCCCAAAGCCGGCCAGGCCGACGCCAATCTCTGTAACAATCACATTTGATTTAAGTTAAATTCAAATACAAATATATTTATTAAAATTTACATCATATAGTCAGCTTATAACCATGGGTCCCACACTAGGAGGTTCTGTATCGTGGGCACCCAATGAATGTAAAAAAAATATTGCAACAGATGATTTAACTCTACATTTCACTTAGCCAGATTTATTTATTTACTTCAGAAGTTTTGTACAATAATTTTTATAAATTTGTTCGTAGACCTCAAGTTGTGAATTAAAATGTCACTATTATTTATCTTGACCAAGGCAAAATATATTTAAATGATTTGTTATGTTGATATTTATGAAGGCGTATTACATAGTTAATAAGTAGCCGTTACTACCACTTGTTTACATTTAATCGACTTGTTAGTAATTAAAACATAAAATTATGTGATTATATGTGATTCAAATAAAAATCTTTATTAAAAGACGGCTAATAAACAACATTTAAATGGAAAGATTTAAACGATTTCATAAGAACTCACTTTTTTTCATTCTTATTATAAATATTGACATAAGGATATAAATACTTACTCTGTATATCCGTGATTTCAATCATTTTGTATTAATTAACTAGTTTTTCGTAGATTTTGAGTAAAAATTATTAAATACAACAAATTCCTAACCTATTACTCCACGTCATTTTGTACTGTCTATAGCTGTAGGCAGTGTGACCAGAATTAATTTTATGAAAATACCGAAACACCTTAAATAAATATTAAGAAACAATAAAAATGCTGATTTTCGAAAGAGGTTTTATTCATTTAATCTGTTTCTTTGTACTGTTTAGATAGATAAGATAGATAGGTTTCAATTATTTAACCTTTTTCATTTGCAAATTGTAAGAACGTTTCTCATAGATAATTTTTTTATAACTTCAAAAACAAAACAGGTATGAATTTTTATGGAAAAAAAATAGTTTTTCTGCATTTCTGAAAAGTCGGGTTTTGGTTTATACGACCTTTTTACCCAAAGGTATACAATATATTGTTTTAAACTTTCATGGTCATCATTACTATAATGTTAGTGCATTATAGTAATATAAGTTATTTACGGGATTGTTACCATGTACCTTGTTTTTAGCGAGTTTCCGATATTTCGGCACTGTTGCAAGCGCCATGATCACGGAGTAACTGAAGTAATAGCGGGTAGGCAGACATATCGGTCTACCCTCCGACGAAGTCTTTTATTGCGTTCGATACCCGTACCACTGTTCACATTCTCACTATTCACTCGAAACTGTTCTCGCCTGTGATCATGGCGCTTGCAACAGAGCCGAAATATCGGAAACTCGCTAAAAACAAGGTACATGGTAACAAACCCGTAAATAACTTATATTACTACAAAGGTATACATACTAGATATCCTACTTAATATTATCAATATGAAAGTTCGTATGTTTGTTACTCAATCACGCAATAACTACTGAATAGAATTGAATTCGGTCCGCATGTAGATTTTGATTTGAATTAAGACATTGGATACCTATATATACCCGCAAAAATATGCGAGGCGCCGAGTGATGTAATTATGGTCACTGTGACTTGTTTACGCAATCCAGAAGCTTCAAGTTGTGTTTTTTAAGATAGGAAGTAATATTATAGTAATATTTTAATACTTAACACAAAGCAGCGTATTTTTAAGCACGTTGCCAACAGAACTGAAGAACGGAACATCATTTTACTTAAATCGTCTTAGCTCTTAAATGATTTACCTGTCATATCCTGTAACTTAACTTACTAAATTAATAATAACAAAAAATCACGCCACGGTTTTCAATATATTTTTTTATCAAAAATATACTAGTAAATACTGATCTTTACTAATATACTTACAAAAATACTGACGCTCCGAAAATGTCGATAAAATATACTGAAAAAGTATTAAAATACTGAATCTGGTCACACTGGCTGTGGGTATCAGTATTGCCAACGAAAATTTTCAACCGATGTCACCCAAACAAATAGTTTAGTACTGGCTCCACACTTGTACCATGAAATTCCATGAATTCGTGCCGTAATTTCTCATCAGTGGTGATTACGCTCTACATTGAACGTGCGTGAAGCCGCGAAAATCATCTACTGTGCGACCACGATACATAAAGATCTTGTGAGTGACAGTTCTGGAAGGACGGTACTGACTGGTATCGATTCTGGCATGATCTTCTTCTTCTTCTTGTTGCTACGGGCGTTTCCGCAACTCGACGTCCTTATGGCGCCTGTTTTGCGTGAGGAGGCTGTATGGCCGGAATCACTCCAGCCAGCCCAGCTCCCCCAGGAACGCCCCCAGGGCCTTCACATTGGTGACTGCCTCTTGAAGGTTTCCCGGTGAGCCGAGGTATTTCGCCCGGTATTCGGCCACTCCGTTGCTTTCCAGCAGAACGTGAGTAGCTGTTTCTTCTGCCTCCATGCATCCTCTGCATAGGGGGCTGTCCGTGACACCTAAGTTGAAAAGATGTCTGTTAAAATGTGCATGTCCAGTGATAGCACCCGTTACCATGCGCAATGTAGGTTTGCTTAGCTGTAGGAGAGTTTTGGAGAAGGCAGCGTTCACCCGTGGCAAAGCGAGCTTGGTCTGCCTACACGTCTCCAGGTCGAGCCAGTATTGCTGGTGTAGTTCGGCAGTGTGCTCGCGGATTTTATTGACGAGACAGCTTACCGGTATTGGGACGATTGGTTCAGGACCTGTTGGGGTCGTATCAGATCCCTTCCGGGCCAGCTCATCCGCAGCGTCGTTTCCGCGTGATCCACTGTGTCCCTTGATCCATTGGATGGTAATAGAATTGCTTGACCCTACCTTGTTTAAGGTTTGGTGGCATTCTTGTAGGAGGCTCGATCTGACTAAACTGGCATCTAGAGCTTGTAGGACTGATTTACTGTCGGACAGTATTCGTATTTCCTGACCTGTTACTTTCTTGAAAGGATCGCTGTTGCCGCCAGTGTTGTATGGGCTTAAGGGGAACGCGATGTGTATGTTGAGGTCCTCAGAGAAAACACCCGCGCCCGTGCCCGATGAGGTTTTAGAGCCGTCGGTGTAGATCATGAGAGCCTTGTGTGTTACCTTTGGATCGTTGTCATCCAGTAGATGTATTCTGTACTTTTTGTCAAATATGAAGGCGGGTATTATTTTGTCACATGCAGCATCTATGAGCGGAGTGTTTACCCATTCCTTCAGTATACCGTTGAGATGCTTTGCTGTTTCGAACCTTACCAGTCCAAACTTTTGTAGTCTCAACGCTGTTTTAGACGCTTCCTGTCTTATGTAGATATGGAGCGGTGTGATGTTTAAAATAACTTCCAGTGCTGCGTTTGGAGCTGTACTCATGCACCCGGTCACCACGCTGCATATCTGCCGCTGGAAGCTTTGTAGTTTGTTGACACAAGTAGTCTGGATAGATCTCGGCCACCATATGATGGCGCCATAACTTACCATTGGTCGTATGACTGTGTAATATAACCATAGGAACAGTTTTGGTGCAAGACCCCAGCGCTTCCCTAACATTTGACGGCATTGCCAAAGTGTTACGCTGGCTGTCTTGATTTTGTGTTCCACATGGTTCCAGTTTAGCTTACTGTCAAGTATAAGGCCTAGATACTTTACCTCCTTTGACAGTTGTAGTGTGATACCAAACAGCTTCGGCAAGTTGAAAGCACCTACGTCACGTTTGGTTGTAAACATTACCAGCTCTGTTTTTGTTGGATTAACTGTGAGGTCGTATTTCCTGCACCAGCATTCAACCAGTTTCAAAGCACCTTGCATGGTCTTACAGGTAATGCTGGCGTGGGTGCCTAGGGTAAGTATAGTAATGTCATCTGCATACTCTATGGTGTAGTAGTGGTTCGAGTTTAGCTTGGTCAGCAGGTCGTCAACTACGAGGTTCCACAGAAGTGGCGAAAGAACCCCTCCTTGCGGACATCCTCGTGCCACCAGTGCTCCTCTGCTGTCCTCACCTTTTACCCGAACTATTCTATTGCGAAGCATGTTAACTGTCCAGTCAATGATTTGCTGCTCTACTCCGTGTCTCCTTAGAGCAGACTCAATGCTGGTGAAGTTGGTCTTATCGAAAGCACCCTCTATACCAATGAAGGTTCCGAGGCAGATAAGTTTATTTATATATATATATAATATATTCTGGCATGATTATCTAAACTTTAAACTAAATTTAACATCAGTCTCTCCTTTTCATTCATTATAGAGAAAGACAAAGATATACTTTTGTCAAATTTAATGGAGAGACTGATGTCAAATTTAGTTTTAAGTTTAGAGAATCACGCCAGAATCGACACCGTTGGTGCCGATTCTGGCACGATTCTGTAAATCTAAACTTAAATCTGACAACAGAGCATCCTTGTCATTCTCTATACAGAATGAAAAGGAGAGACTGATGTTAAATTTAGTTTTAAGTTTAAAGAATCACGCCAGAATGGACACCATTGTCTACGTAAATGACCGTAATTGACATAAAAGATATGAGGTGTACTAAGACGGTGTTATAATAGTTTGAATTTTCGTAACATTCATTGAGATCTTGGTCGCACTGTACATTCACGTTTATGCTTGTTCGCGGAGCTACACGGCACAAGTGTGGAGCCGGCAGAAAACGAAGAAAATATTTATTTATTTACGAATTGCAACCCCAATTCTAACCTTCAAAATCGATCTGCCGACGGAATGCCGCGTCTCGTTTTGTTTCCTGCCATTTTGTCAGTACAACAAATAAATTAGCGTATATTTTGTTAGAATTTGACGTGTTAATTTTATAGTGAACACGCAGAGCACATATTGTACAAATTGGAATTAGTTACGCGCGCTTTTTTCGATTGGGTGTGTCTACTTATATAGTGATCTGTGGTGTGTGTCAAGTGGATTTTGTGAGGTTGGTTCTCTGAACGAAAGTTTTATCAAATCTATCGGTATAATGGTTCGCGGAGCTGGTCGTGGAGGTCGGGGGATGCCAGGGCGAGGAGGAATGGGCCGTCCGCCCTTCAATAGGCCAAGGGTCTTGATGCTGAGACCTCCTTTTGACCTAATACTTGCAGAACCCGCCTTCCCAAGATGTAAACCTGCACCTGATGATTCAGCCCTAACACAGGTAGGTGAAAATCACAGTATTTAATCTAAGAATGCCCCTAATAGATTGTTCTTTGGGAATGTTGTTCATATACCTGCAAGCCGCTTAACCTCTTAATATTTTTACCTATTATGCCTAAATGGCTATTAGTAGTAATGGCAAATGCAATAAATAACTAAATTTGGTAGAATCCGTACAACCCCAAGGATTTTAAATAAGAATAGATTTTTTTATGTAATTTTATTTTCTAAATAGATATTTTTTCATATCTAATAGGGATGATGACTATTTTTTTTTTCTTCGTTTATCAGGTAAATTATGAAAAAGTATTCGACACGTATTTTTTCTTTTTTCACATAATATAAACATTGCAGAGATATATTGATTTGAAAAGTCGCATGACGTCACTTTTGAGTACACTTTTAAGGGATATACTGTACTTCCAGGGCCCAAAAGTAAAAACTTCACAGTTTTGTTGGTTGTAATTTCGCATTTTTGTTGTTAAAAAGGTTTCTGTTAACCACATTATTAAAAAAAATGTCACACTTATGCACTGGTAGTTTTTTAGAAAAAAATATTGCTAATAATTTACTTTTCTTATCAAGTGGTGATACTTCACACTAGGTTAGGTTAGGTTAGTGTTGTGACCATAACGCGCGAGCCGAGCGAGCAAAGCGAGCGTGCCGCGGCAGCGGCCGGCGAAGCGCCAGAAAAAAAAACTGTTAAAAAGACCTTTTCTACAAAAAAAAACAAGTATCACCTTTTGGGCCCTGGAAGTACAGTTTTACCCTTTTAAGTGAAAATTCACTCAAAAGTGACATCATGAGCCCCTACTCCCAAACTTTGACGAGCTATAACTTTGTCATTTTTAGGTTCATTACCCAAAGAAAAAATATGTGTACATTATTTTTTGATCCTCTAACTGACGGACTAAATAGAAATTTGTATACTGTACCCCGTCATCACCCCTATTGTTTGTGTTAAGTAAAGAAGCCATAAATCCTTTGGAAATAAGACATTTAGTCAGTCCAGTGTGTTACTTATCAAACGACTTTTATTATACTAATGTGTATGCAGATGGATGGAATAAAATAATATTTGACTGTCTATTGTTTTGTGAGAAAAATGAGTGTGAATCCTCATGTTTGTAATTCTTTGTTTTTTTGTAACTAATTGTTTAAAATGGTATTGTGCTGTGGTAATTAAAAATAAATAAATAAATCCACAAGTATTTTTTTAAACTTACACTTTTAATAATTTTAATAATTGATAGGTGTGATGTAGATGTACATTACATACTACTAGCTGACATCCTTCTAAAAAACACCTTACCTTATTTACAGGCGCTCCTCAAAAGACATGCAGAGCTGTGTCCAACACCTACAGAACAGTCAGCAGTGCTCAGTCTTGTCACTAAACTACAAAGCGTCCTAGACAACTTGGTAGTTGCGCCAGGAGATTTCGCCGCTTGTGTGAGTAGTCATCTTTCTATAGTTACCGGTAGGCACGTAACTCTAGCGTTGAACAAAACGCGGAGGGGATAGCTGCGTGTGGGTACGACTGGAGAGCCAATTGATGCAATGCACGCCCACCCGCACACCTCATTTCCCCCCAAGGCATCTGAATTTTTACTTCTGCTCAATAACGGTCAACACATTTCATGCTGCAACTTATAATATTGATGTTAAGATACAGATCTAAATAGTATTGTGAACATAATTTTAACTAACAATTTACTTGTGAAGATGAAATAAACATTTATTATATTTATAAGATGAAATGTTTATTGATAACAAAATATTAGTATTAGAAAAGTCAATTTTCTTAGTGGATTCAAATAATATAATAAATATAATCGTAGGTATTATAGACGACCATTAATAAAGAAATTATTGAGCAACTTATAATAACATAATTTATCTTCGACAAATTTACATGTACAGCTTATAATATAAAACATTATAAAAAAAATATTCTTAGATTGATTTCTATATGGTAGGCAAATCCAATTTTTTCTACAAAGAAAAGACTATTTAAATGTTTGTTTTACAGCAATTGGAAGAAGTTCGTCAAGTTGGGTCTTATAAGAAGGGCACCATGATGGCGGGCAAGAACGTGGCCGATATTGTCGTCATCATGAAGACACTGCCGACCAAAGAAGCTGTAGAAGGACTTTCAAATAAGGTAACTTTTAAGTACTACAACAATTGCCATAGTTTTTTTTTTAACTTTGATTTGTTTTAGTTTAGTTTTATTTTACAGAAACTAACTGAAAGGTGACACAAATACTTTATGCAACTTCAAGGCCTTGTCTCTCTGCTTTAGTTTTATCGTTCCATTTCTTCAAAAAATTTAAAAAAATCCTATTTTTAAAAACCGTTAAGGTGCTGTCCCACGATCTGTGTTATCGCGGGCGAGTTCACGTTCGAGATTCAGCAGTATCTATACAAGACATAAGATTATTATTATTATATTTTATCCATCGATTGATTGGACAGGTGAACGAAGAAGTCAACAAGCTGATGGTAGCCGAGTCAGCGGGCTGCGTGACTTGTGCGTGCCACGAGCGAGGGTTCACAGTGACGGCTACAGGGGCTGCGGTCAGAGTTCTGGTCACAACTCTGCATCAGAACTTGAGGAAACTGGAGCCTGATGTGAGTCCAATTCTCTATTTCACATGAATAGGATAAATGCATGTTAAAGATAATAAGTAAAATAAAATAAAAATAGCCTTTATTCTCTATTGTATATGTTAAAAGTGACTTAACTTAAAATTAAAACTTAGTTTAATCGCTGACATCGGTACGTGTACAAACAGGTTGTCCTTGGACATAGGCCTCTTCCAAATTAGCCCATTGGTTCCTATCTGTGGCTGCTCGTCGCCAACTCTTGGGTAGATCATCTTTCCATCTTTTATGTTGTCTACCTCTACTACGTTTACCATCTCAGGGGTACCACTCAATAATATCCTTTGTCCACTTGTTCCTCTTCGATCTAGGTAATAATAAAAAATATTACCTTAAAATATAAAAAAATATGTTAAAGATACACTACTTTAAAACTTAGGTTAAGAGAAGCATGCCGGAATGAGGGCTATCGCGTATAAATCCGCCGCTAGAGGCGCTTGTGTAGCGTGAGGTCTTCGAAATGTCAAATGTTATTGCTTGTGGGCTAACTACGCGAATTTATTTCTAAAACCTAAGCAACAAATATGGATTTATTTCTTATTAAATTGATGTTCTGAATAAATTAATAGTATCTCTGATTAATTATGCCAAATACGAGTATGAATGTCAGTGAATTAAAAGTGGATCTAAGAAAAAAATATATAACACTGTGGCATGGCTGATCACGAAATTGTAAATGAAAAATTATTTAACTGATAGTGAAAATTTGTTGCGTACTTTAGGACCCGTTGCATTGAATGCACAATCTTTTTGGTTGAACTCACAAATCTCAGGAAATAATAGTCCGATTTGATAAAATATTTTTTGTGTTGTGCATTTATTGAAGACGGCTTGAGGCTACATAATATTCCGCTGCGACCATTAGGAGCGGAGTGTCAATGTAAAATATTGCAAAAACGGGTAAAAATTTTGGGAATTTTGGGAGATTCCGTTAAAGTTACCCAAAAATCATGTATGACGGCATTGTTTCACTTTAAAAGTTTTATAAAAAAGTCTGCGACAGCATATGCCCATCTTTTAAGTTTGACTCACTAGAACCTTTTTCCTCTAATTAACGCGGGTGAAACCGCAGGGGATCTTTAGTTGTGACATAATATCTGTAATAGTAAGACATACGATATCGCGGACTTTTTTGTAGATATTTATGTCCTCTATAAAACTTTAGTCGCTGACTTCCGCATCGTAAGCGATATAAGGTTATTTTTTGGTATTTTATTCATTATCAAAGTTTCAGACGGAACCCTAACTTTTTTGGAAATACTTTATAGTCTATGTTCATCAGGGATTATGTAGGATTCTAAATGTGTAATAATTTTTCAATTCGGTCCTGTAGTTTCGGAGCCTATTCGATACAAACAAGCAAACAATCAAATCTTTCCTCTTTATAATATTAGGATAGAATAATGCGGACGAAATCGCAGACGTATGTACGGACGCATGGAATGACAAAGGTATGGTGATCATAGGATATTGTTTATGAGACAATATTTCGATTTAATTATGGTTTAATAAAATCTTTAAAGTAAAGAAATTTCTACTACAAAAAAATCCACGCGGACCAGGCAGCAGATGGGACTCGAACCTGCACCCTTCGCAATCCGGGCGAATGCACTGATATTATGCTACCACAGCCCTGATGGCCGTGTCGAATTTTTCCTAGTCTTTTCTTAAACTGCAAGGCAGCGCCATCTCTTTGCATTGTAGGTTTAACAGTTCCAACACAAGATATTTATTTTTGCAAAAGTAATTTATGTAATTATATACGAGCTGACCCAGCGAACTTCGTACCGCCATAAAAAAATAGGGGTTGGTGGTAGAAAGTTGAAAATTTAGGGATGTATGTATTTTTGTTATCATAAAATAATTTAAAAAAAATATTTAAAATTGAAAAAAAAATTAGGGGTGAATTACCCTTAACATTTAGGGGGATGAAAAATAGATGTTGTCCGATTCTCAGACCTACCCAATATGCACACAAAATTTCATGAGAATCGGGTCAGCCGTTTCGTAGGAGTTTAACCACAAACACTGCGACACTAGAATTTTATATATTAGATATCTCAGAAACTCGCTAAAAACATGGTACAAGGTAGCAATCCCGTAAAAACATAAATTATGTATTATAATGGTAGTGACCATGAAAGTTTAAAACAATATATAAAAATCTTGGTTTGTCCGCAGGTACATCTGGAATACAAGGTGATCAACAGCCACTTGGCAGCCATTAGGCATAGTCGCTGGTTCGAAGAGAACGCTCACCATTCCTCTATCAAGGTAAGAATCTATTAGAATATACTAGCAAACCAGTGAACCAAATGTTCACCAAAAAAAAAAATGTATTTAAAAAATTGAGAACTTCGGAGATTTTGTGTGGTTTCGTTTGAAATAGAAATCACGTGATTTCTCGAAAACCGGAAGTGCTACGTTACTCACATCCGGTTTGTAGTCTTATCAGACTATTCTTAACTTATAACTTAAACATTCTCTTTATCTATCTCTTACGGTTTGGCCGCTGAAACAGCACCACGGACGGACGGACGGACTTGTCTAATAGATAAGAGATTTTTCTAGTAAACTTTTCTTTAGATTTAAACATGTAGCAGTTAAATGCTTAAAAAATAAATAAAATCATAACTATAATTGCTATTTCTTCTTTCAAATGTTTAATACTTGTAAAAGTATTCATTTGACATTGTGGGTTACCTACAATGCGAAGAGATGGCGCTGCCTTGCAGCTTAAGGCTAGGAAAATTTCGACGCGGCTAATAGGGCCGTGGTAGCATAATGGTCAGTGCATTCGCCCGGATAGCGAAGGATGCGGGTTCGAGTCCCGTCCGCTGCCTGGTCCGCGTGGATTTTTTTCTAGTAAACTTTTCTTTAGATTTAAACATCTAGCAGTTAAATGCTTAAAAAATAAATAAAATCAAGGTAAGAATCATTTCAGATACAACTATTATTGGTCAGTGCATTCTGACCAATTATGCTACCGCGGCCCTGATGGTCGTGTCGCATTCTTTCAAGCCTTTCTTAAGCTGCAAGGCAGCGCCATCTCTTCGCATTGTAGGAAACCTACAATGTCAAATAAATACCTTTACAAGAATAAACATTTGAAAGAAGAAGTAGCAATTATAGTTATCTCGGAAAGCGACTATTCACTTTGTCATTAGCGTTCACGGGCTTAGTGGGCGTCATCGGGGCTTACAGGCACAAAACCAAACAATCACTCAATCACTGTTCTTACAATAGGGATGATGACTAATTTTTTTTCTTCGTTTATCAGGTAGATTATCAAAAAGTATTGGACACGTATTTTTTCTTTTTTCACATAATATAAACATTGCAGAGATATAGTGATTTGAAAAGTCGCATGACGTCACGTTTGAGTACACTTATAAGGGAAAATTCACTCAAAAGTGACGTCACGAGCCCCTACTCCCAAACTTTGACGCGCTATAACTATGTCATTTTTTGGTTGATTGCCCAAAGAAAAAATACGTGTCCATTATTTTTTGATCATCTAACTGACGGACTAAATAGAATTTCGTTTACTGTACCCCGTCATCACCCCTATTATGATTGCGTTCTTTTAACAAAACAAAATAAAAATGTTTCACACACACTACTTTAATAAGTACACTTAAATAACAACCGAGCAGCGGGTTCAAGGCACCAATCTGACTTCACTGAACTACCTTATCACCTTTCTTGTAACGAGCCGCTACGATCAGTTCCTCGCCTTTAAATACGCGCAAAAATACCTCCCACCTGTGAAAATCAAGATGGCGCCTCGACCCCACTCGAGGCACGTGCTCTGCTCTGATTGGACGCGACATAAAATAATTTATTAGCGACTTTTATTCAATTGATAAGTTACTGAATAATACAAAAAAATGTAATTAATTTAAATCAAATTAAATTAAGATTTTATAAAATTATTTAAAGTGTAAACAATAGCCTTTTCACGCTTGGCATTCAACAATCAACTCTATTCACCACATCCTCCGACAGTCATAATTTTTACTTTTTCAAGCGTGTAACTGCTTGATGTTTAAATCTAAAGAAAATATTACTAGTAATTTTTGAAGTTATACTTCTTTAGGCGCGTTATGAAAAAATGATGAGAGTGAAATTTTAAGATGCGCGCGCATCACTGTAACACAAAATTTTAACAGCATGAAGTTGGTTACTTTTGTGTTTACCGGACATTAAGAAAATCTACCAACAACATAGAAATAGAATCTCTATTTAGTGGGTGCTAACGACTGCATTGTGAAGGCCTATCAAAAGTATTTATTAATCTGGAACAATGGAACCAAAGCGCGATTCAGGAGACTACAGCGCCATCTCTTGACCATTGGTAGTAGTAGTATTGGTAGTAGAACCAAAAACCACATCTTTATTTTTTGTAATAAAGTAACAGTTATAGGTATTCATATTTATAATATTTATCCACATGTTTCTAGTTTGTATATTCGGAATACGTGTTTGAGTTTCATACAAGTGCAAATCACATATGTTCTAATAAATTATATTCAGTAGCGATTTTAATTGAATATTTTGATTATTTATTTATTTTTCAAATTAAAACTGAACTTTATTGACTGTGTCCTTTTCCAGACTTTTTATTAATTTATTGTAATTAATTATTTGCATGCAATTAAAAACTAATTTTAAACAATGCCAAAGAAGGATAACTTCTCACGCGCCTACATAAGTACACGCACCCATTTTTTTTGTAGTAATATTTTTACAATGCGAAAGGTTGGCGCTGCCTTGTAGCTCTAGAAAGGCTAGAAAGAATTCGACACGGCCGTCAGAGTCGCGGTAGCATAATGAGGGCTATCGCATATGAATCCGCCGCTAGAGGCGCTAGTGTAGCGTGAGGTCTCCGAAATGTCAAATGTTATTGCTTGTTGGTTGACTACGCGGGTTTATTTCTAATTAAAATAATGTTGCGAATAATTGGTAACAATTCGGCTTAATTATGGCAAATATGAGTTATGTGGCAATGAATGTCAGTTATTAAAAATTTGAGCTTAGAAAAATGATTATGTTCCCATTTTTTCCGAATAAAACGGAACTGCGCGTCACTGTGGCATGGCCTATTATGTTTAGGATATGGTTCTTTTGTGTTAAAATACGATCTAAATGTAACCTTTGATTTCATGTGCGTATTAATAAACTTTAAAAGTTACAATTTAGGACCTCACTCAACAGTGGCGCCATCTGGTGAGACAGAAAACGGTAGCCCTCATTGGTCAGTGCATTCGCCCGGATAGTGAAGGGTGCGGGTTCGAGTCCCGTCTGCTGCCTGGTCCGCGTGGATTTTTTTCTAGTAAACTTTTCTTTAGATTTAAACATCTAACAGCTGTTAAACGTTTAAAAAATAAAAACATGTCTAATATATGTATTTAAACATTTCGCACAGGTCCTTATTCGCCTTCTACGCGATATGTGCGCTCGCCACTCGGGCCTCGAACCCCTGACCCCTTGGATGATCGACCTGCTGGCGCATCACTGCATCATGAACAACCCCGCCCGTCAGGCGCTGCCGATCAACGTGGCATTCAGGTCAGACTATATTGTCTATAGAACGATCATAGACTTCGGAGAAATGAGCACTTTTTAAAATAAAAATAATTAAAAATGTCTATAAATAATTAATATGAGGAGCTCGATGGCGCAAGTGGTTAGCGCATTCGGCTGCGATCGTTGAACTTAAGCAACTTTAGCAGTGGTCGCTCATTGGATGGGTGACCAAAAATTACTATCTCTCGCTCCTCCGTGCTTCGGAAGGCACGTTAAGCCGTTGGTCCCGGCTGCATCTGCAGTCGTTAGCACCCACCAATTCGCACTGGGCCCGCGTGGTGGGTCATGGCCCAATCTCCCTATTCGGTCCATAGGGAAGGCCTGTGCCCCAGCAGTGGGGACATTAATAGGCTGATGATGATGATGATCATAAATAATTAATAATTTAAAATGTCTTACGTTTGTTTTGAATATTTAAATAGTACCTAGAGTTATTATTAAAAGTTACGTACAGTCTTAAAATATTGTTTTAGACGACCTCCTTGGCCGATTGGTTTGTACGACGGGTTTCATGGTGTCGCCAACTCGAGGGGTCCCGGGTTCGAATCCCGGTGGGGGCAGATGTTAGTGTGATGAATACGAGCATTTGTACTCCAGTCATGGATGTTTAATATGTATTTCTATATAAATATACTTATATATGTACAGTATATGTATTCTATCCGTTAACCTAGTATCCCATGACACAAGCTTTATAGTACTTAGCTTGGGGCTAGGTTAATTGGTATGAGTGTTGGAAATATTTATTTATTTTATTAGAGGAACTTAAAAATCTATCAGTAATTCAGATAACTAAACACAATGAATATCGCAAATAACAAAATAACAGTGAGAAGTACGTACGCATTAATGAGTGAAATCTTAAGTGCTAGCGAGTCTTAAAGAAGTCCATAGGTAAATTTTGTTTTTCTTAGAGGCAAATTGTGATTTTTGGATCATGAATATTTCGGCTCGTTTTGGGAGGCTCGTGTCGTCCGTAAGCAAGCCGAGTCATGACGAAATATTCAGAACATCCTCCTAATATATTAGAATAATCGGCATTTCAGAATAGTCGGCAATTTGAAAACCGATTAGTCGGCTAGTCGGTTAGTCGGCAAATACTATAGTCGGCCCATCTCTACTTGGAACCCTTTTTTAGCACTCTGCTAATTCTAGATTAAAAACCACACATTTGTAAACAAACAATAACAAATATTGATAATTAATATTGATTGATATTTTGTTTCATTTATTGAGTTTTGGCTATGAATTGTTGATAACCTAAACCGTCAACCAAATGTCACTTTATGTTGCGGTTAGAAACTCAATTTCAAACTTTCGTTAACCTATAGGATGCATGTTCGTATGTGACCTAGTAATAGTGCATGATTATTCATAACTACTCCGGTGGTAATGCAGAGATTGAGCAGAATTGAAGAGCTAGATTCTGATTTATGTTTTTCTCACACAGTCTTAATAAATAAATATTTACTTGCAAACCAGTGAACCAAATGTTCACCAAAACCTGATTAAAAAAAAAGAAGGAAGTGCTATGTTACTCAAATCCGGTTTGTAGTCTTATCAGACTATTCTGAACTTATAACTTAAATATTCTCTTTATCTATCTCTTACGGTTTGGCCGCTGAAACAGCACCACAGACGGACGGACTTGTCTAATAGATAAGAGATTAAAAATTTGTTGTTTTTTTCACAATTACAGTAAATATTTTAATAAAAAAGATCTTATGTTTTTTCTCACTGAATGTTAGTTAGAAGTTTATTAAATAAAATCTTTTATTTGCTCACTCTTCCTATTTGGTTTGAATCGACAGCTATGACGTCAAAATATAGGGCCCAGTCGGTCCTATTCTTATACTATAATTGAATTGAATTTTATTTTTGTTTTAAATGTAATTGTATGTGGAGATGTAATTTAATTTGTTTTTATGTATCATAATTATTACTATTTATTATTATTTTGTCATTTTCATGCTATGATCTTTGTGGTTGAAATAAATGAATTATTATTATTATAATGTTATTGACCATGGAAGTTTAAAACAATATATTGTTAATGTCATTGTCGACAGGCGCGCATTGTCTCTAGTAGCGGGTGGGTTGTTCCTACCCGGGTGTGCGGGGCTTCCCGACCCCTGCGAGGCGGCCCATGCGCGAGCACATACGGCGCTAGACCTCGCCGCGCAAGACCTGGCCGCGGCTACAGCCCAGACGTGAGATAATACTGCATTAACACACCAAAACACTGACTAACTTGACACTGATCCACGCAAAACTACCAAATACATACATACGTGGCACTAATCCATACAAGAAGCGCCCCATATTGCACTAGACCTCGCCGCGCAAGACCTGGCCGCGGCTACAACCCAGACGTGAGATAATACTGCATTAACACACGAAAACACTGACTAACTTCACACTGATCCACGCAAAACTACCAAATACATACATACGTGGCACTAATCCATACAAGAAGCGCCCCATATTGCACTAGACCTCGCCGCGCAAGACCTGGCCGCGGCTACAGCCCAGACGTGAGATAATACTGCATTAACACACCAAAACACTGACTAACTTCACACTGATCCACGCAAAACTACCAAATACATACATACGTGGCACTAATCCATACAAGAAACGCCCCATATTGCACTAGACCTCGCCGCGCAAGACCTGGCCGCGGCTACAGCCCAGACGTGAGATAATACTGCATTAACACACGAAAACACTGACTAACTTCACACTGATCCACGCAAAACTACCAAATACATACATACGTGGCACTAATCCATACAAGAAGCGCCCCATATTGCACTAGACCTCGCCGCGCAAGACCTGGCCGCGGCTACAGCCCAGACGTGAGATAATACTGCATTAACACACCAAAACACTGACTAACTTCACACTGATCCACGCAAAACTACCAAATACATACATACGTGGCACTAATCCATACAAGAAGCGCCCCATATTGCACTAGACCTCGCCGCGCAAGACCTGGCCGCGGCTACAGCCCAGACGTGAGATAATACTGCATTAACAGACCAAAACACTGACTAACTTCACACTGATCCACGCAAAACTACCAAATACATACATACGTGGCACTAATCCATACAAGAAGCGCCCCATATTGCACTAGACCTCGCCGCGCAAGACCTGGCCGCGGCTACAGCCCAGACGTGAGATAATACTGCATTAACACACCAAAACACTGACTAACTTCACACTGATCCACGCAAAACTACCAAATACATACATACGTGGCACTAATCCATACAAGAAGCGCCCCATATTGCACTAGACCTCGCCGCGCAAGACCTGGCCGCGGCTACAGCCCAGACGTGAGATAATACTGCATTAACACACCAAAACACTGACTAACTTCACACTGATCCACGCAAAACTACCAAATACATACATACGTGGCACTAATCCATACAAGAAGCGCCCCATATTGCACTAGACCTCGCCGCGCAAGACCTGGCCGCGGCTACAGCCCAGACGTGAGATAATACTGCATTAACACACGAAAACACTGACTAACTTCACACTGATCCACGCAAAACTACCAAATACATACATACGTGGCACTAATCCATACAAGAAGCGCCCCATATTGCACTAGACCTCGCCGCGCAAGACCTGGCCGCGGCTACAGCCCAGACGTGAGATAATACTGCATTAACACACGAAAACACTGACTAACTTCACACTGATCCACGCAAAACTACCAAATACATACATACGTGGCACTAATCCATACAAGAAGCGCCCCATATTGCACTAGACATCGCCGCGCAAGACCTGGCCGCGGCTACAGCCCAGACGTGAGATAATACTGCATTAACACACCAAAACACTGACTAACTTCACACTGATCCACGCAAAACTACCAAATACATACATACGTGGCACTAATCCATACAAGAAGCGCCCCATATTGCACTAGACCTCGCCGCGCAAGACCTGGCCGCGGCTACAGCCCAGACGTGAGATAATACTGCATTAACACACCAAAACACTGACTAACTTCACACTGATCCACGCAAAACTACCAAATACATACATACGTGGCACTAATCCATACAAGAAGCGCCCCATATTGCACTAGACCTCGCCGCGCAAGACCTGGCCGCGGCTACAGCCCAGACGTGAGATAATACTGCATTAACACACCAAAACACTGACTAACTTGACACTGATCCACGCAAAACTACCAAATACAATTACGCCGTGACGAGGCGTCACTAAGCGCGTTCTATCGTCTGTACCACGGAGAGTGTTCTGAGGAGTTATTCTCTCTTATCCCACCTTCCCCTTTCCTTCAGAGGACCACCCGCGCTGACCTACGTTGTCGCCGTCTTACTGTGGCCACAATTCCAACGCGTACAAAGAAATTTGGTGACTCATTTCTTTGTCGCACCATCCGTAAATGGAATGCTCTGCCCGCTCACGTGTTCCCTCCCTCTTACAACCTGGGATCCTTTAAAAGAGGCGTGAAGAAGCAACATGCAGACCGGCAGGGTGAGGATGGCTGGTGTGGCAGGTAGAACTGCTGTATCAGCTATCTTCGCGTCTGGACTTCACCGCCACTTAACATCAGGTGGGGTGGTGTCATTTGTCGGACCTATCTATAAAAAAAAAAACACATACGTGGCACTAATCCATACAAAAAGCGCCCTATATTGCACTAGACCTCGCCGCGCAAGACCTGGCCGCGGCTACAGCCCAGACGTGAGATAATACTGCATTTAACACACGAAAACTGACAAGAAATCACCATCAATAACACATTATACATATTAAAATTACAAAATAGAAGGCATCTTTACATTCCCACAGTACAAAAGTTGAGGTAACTTCGTTAATTCCAAACAAAAACTGTAGAAAACATAAAAAAGGGCTTTGCTTCGCCGCGCAAAACTTGGCCGCGGCCACTGCGCAGACGTGAGATAATACTATATTAACACATGAAAACACTGACTGACTTGACACTGATCCACGCAAAACTACCAAATACATACATACGTGACTATAATCCATACAAAATGCGCCCTATATTGCACTAGACCTCGCCGCGCAAGACCTGGCCGCGGCTACAGCCCAGACGTGAGATAATACTACATTAACACACGAAAACACTGACTAACTTGACACTCACAAAAAGATGTACATACTAACATGACACTAATTCAAGCAAGACACAAAAAGGAAGACATATTTACATGGGCACTGCGCAGAAAATCATTTCCAAACAAAATCTGTCAAAAATACTAAAATGTGCTCCATCTTGTCTCGCAAGACTTGGCCGCGGCCACTGCACAGACTTAAGATATTACTGAGCCATTAACATACAAAAGCTGTCACAAAAACACCATCACTAACACTTAAAAACATCAAAAAAGAAGACATATTTACAGTGTCCCTGCACAAAATATTATTTCCAAACAAAAACTGCCAAATATACCATACACCATAAAGCGCACAAAACTTGGCCGCAGCTACTGCGCAAACGTGAGATAATACTGCATTAACACACGAAAACACTGACTAACTTCACACTGATCCACGCAAAATCCCAATCACTCATATACGTGACACTAATCCATACTGTTACGTGTCGGGATGGGGTCCGAAATTATATGCCAGTTCACGATTGACAGTTCTTTATTCACCACACAGTTCACACAATTAACACACAATGTTAATTACAAAACACTTACTAAACACTGTATTTCACTATACAAGTCTCTAAACAATCGCACTTGAACACTTTTGTTGCACTTTGATCGCCTTTGGATTCGCTCCCAAATCGCCGTTGAAACTCAACTGCCTCTGCGCGCTTATATACACCGATCGACGCATTCTAGAAAGTACCTGTTAAATTGAGAATTAGCTAGCACCCGCGAGTACGAAGTACCTACTTATACCTACGCAGGTAACGCGCATAACTTTTAAACAAGTGCAGATGTCGTTGCATTTTCTCCCTTACGCCGCACTGCATAAGGCTCATTTTAGAATGAGCAGCATTACACAACCTCTATCGCGACCTACGGTGATCTGGCACATTCGATCTTTAGCACATTCGCGGTTCTGTTTCGAGAGCATTTGTGACAATACAAAAAGCGCCCCATATTGCGTTAGACCTCGCCGCGCAGGACCTGGCCGCGGCTACTGCGCAGACGTGAGATAATACTGCATTAACACACGAAAACACTGACTGACTTGACACTGATCCATGCAAAACTACCAAATACATACATACTTGGCACTAATCCATACAAAAAGCGCCCCATATTGCACTAGACCTCGCCGCGCAAGACCTGGCCGCGGCTACTGCGCAGACGTGAGATAATACTGCATTAACACACGAAAACAGACAAAAATCACCATCAATAATACATAAAATCACCTAAATAGAAACATCTTTACATTTTCACCGAATGAACACATGCTAACGCTAATGTAATCACCATGAACGCATACTAATACTAATAAAACACAGACGTGAGTTATTACTGCATTAAAACAAGAAAACACTGTGACATGGTACATGAAAACACACTAACATGACATTATTTCACGCAAAAGTCACAAAAAGAAGACATATTTACATTGTCACTGCACAGAACATCATTTACAAACAAAATCCTGTAAAAAATACCAAAAAGTGCTCCATCTTCATCTCGCGTTGAGATATGGCCGCGGCCACTGCGCAGACGTGAGATAATACTGCATTTAACACCCTCCCTTCGATTCCGTCAGCCTAGGCACGTCTTAGACTACCTCGACGACGAAATCACACGCGCCAACGCGCCTCCGATTCCTCCCACACAGGCCACAAACACCAACACTGTATCCACACAAAAAACGTCCCCCCATATTGTGCTCGACCTCAATAACACATTTATGCACATTAAAATCACCAAAATAGAAGCATCTTTACATTGCCACAGCACAAAAGTTGTGATAACTTCGTTAATTCCAAACAAAAACTGTCGAAAACATAAAAAAGCGCTTGACCTCGCCGCGCAAGACTTGGCCGCGGCCACCGCGCAGACGTGAGATATTACTGCATTAACACACTTTTACATTTAGTGTCATTTCAATTGCTATGTTATTTAGCAAAAAATAATCCTTATGATTAAACCTTTCGATGGTTATCATAAGATTGGTCGTGTTTTTATTTCGAAATTTCACGAGTTTGATTCCCAGTTGTAGCAGGCGATTTTTAAAAAAATCTGTGAATGCAGTTCTAGTTTTTATTAAAAATAAAATGATCTCTTCTTTCAGTAAACTATCCTATCTTCAATATTTAATATACTTTCCCTCCGTGTGAGGTAGCCGTGGGACGCCCTGTATACGTGACACTAATCCAGGCAAAGCTACCAAAACATACATACGTGTCACTAATCCATACAAAGCTACCAAAACATATATACGTGTCACTAATCCACACAAAGCTACCAAAACATACATACGTGACACTAATCCACACAAAGCTACCAAAACATACATACGTGACACTAATCCACACAAAGCTACCAAAACATACATACGTGACACTAATCCACGCAAAGCTACCAAAACATACATACGTGACACTAATCCACACAAAGCTACCAAAACATACATACGTGACACTAATCCACACAAAGCTACCAAAACATACATACGTGACACTAATCCACACAAAGCTACCAAAACATACATACGTGACACTAATCCACACAGAGCTACCAAAATATACATACGTGATACTAATCCACACAAAGCTACCAAAACATACATACGTGACACTAATACACACAAAGCTACCGAAACATACATACGTGACACTAATCCACACAAAGCTACCAAAACATACATACGTGACACTAATCCACGCAAAAAGCGCCCCATATTGTGCTGGATCTCGCCACGCAAGATTTGGCCGATGCCACAGCGCCGACGTGAGATATTGCTGCATTCACACACGATAACACACTAACATGACACTGATTCACAAAAGCCACAAAAAGAAGACATATTTACATTGTCAATGCACAGAACATCATTTCCAAACAAACCCTGTCAAAAATACCAAGAAGTGCTCCATCTCGTCGCGCGAGACTTGGCCGTTGCCACTGCGCAAAAATGAGATATGACTGAGTCATTGCGGCATCTTGACTTTTCAACGGTCCGAGCGTGACTGTGAACCAAGAAGCTCCTGAGTGAAGTTCAAGCACTTCTTGAATGGGACACATTTTGTATGCACGCGGTGTATCTAGGGAATTTAATATCGTTGTGAAAATATATTTAATTTTTTCTTTTGGAAAGTGACTTCATGAGTTATCTCATATTGAAGTCATTTTTCAAATTGACGACTCTGTATATAATACAGGGAGAAAAAAACAGCCCTTGCTGAGTTTCTTGCCGGTTCTTCTCAGTACAAGGTCTCCCGCCGTAGATTTGCGAACCGATGGCGTAGCTTTTCGACATTCACAAGTGCTTGTAACAGCCTAGACTGAATAAACGATATTGTTTTTTTAATTTTTTCGTGTCGCGATGTTTGTGGTTAAACTCCTCCGAAACGGCTCGACCGATTTTCGTGAAATTTTATATGCATATTCAGTAGGTCTGAGAATCGGATGTAATCTATTTTTCATCCCCCTAAATGTTAAGGGTAATCCACACCTATTTTTTTTTTAATTCTTTTATGATACATCATACAAAAATACATACATCCCTAAATTTTCAACTTTCTACCACCAACCCCTATTTTTTTATGGCGGTACGAAGTTCGCTGGGTCAGCTAGTAACTATATATTAAGACCATTTCTTCCGATTTCCACGCAGATTGTTGCGCGTCGTCGCCCGCGGCGGACATCGCTACGTTTTGGGCTTGCAAGCGTTTGAGGGCGGTAAAGATATTTCCACGGAAATTACCGTATGGGACGGAGTGGTAGTATCGCCCCTAGCGCCCGCCTACCAAGAGACACCCGAACCAATGGACACGGACGATAAGGGTGAGTTACACTTAATATGTGTATTTTTGCAAGTCTGCAGTTTAATTGAGAAGCTCGATGGCGCAGAGGAGCTCGATGGCGCAGAGGAGCTCGATGGCGCAGAGGAGCTCGATAGCGCAAGTGGTTAGCGCGTTCGCCTGCGATCGTTGAAGTTAAGCAACTTTCGCAGTGGTCGGTCATTGGATGGGTGACCAAAAATTTACTATCTCGAGCTCCTCCGTGCTTCGGAAGGCACGTTAAGCCGTTGGTCCCGGCTGCATCTGCAGTCGTTAGCACCCACCAATCCGCACTGGGCCCGCGTGGTGGGTCATGGCCCAATCTCCCTATTCCATCCATAGGGAAGGCCTGTGCCCCAGCAGTGGGGACATTAATAGGCTGATGATGATGCAGTTTAATTAGGGGCCGTCCATTAATCACGTGATTGCCCATTTGCCCTTGCCCTTGCTGAGTTTCTTCGGTTCTTCTCAGTACAAGGTCCTCCGACGTAGATTTACTAACAAATGGCGTAGCTTCTAGACATTCGTTAGTGCGTTTACCCAACGGCCTGACCAACCGTAGATTAATTTCTAACCTCAAACAGAAACAAACCTCACAGCGTGACAGATTAATCTTTCTCTTCGGTCAAAAAAATACTCCGAGCAAACTGATTTACATCAGACTGTTCTGAGTGGTAATTACAGAACGCGTCAGATTTAATCTAGATGTAATCATCATCATCAGCCTATTAATGTCCCCACTGCTGGGGCACAGGCCTTCCCCATGGATGGAATAGGGAGATTGTGCCATGACCCACCACGCGGGCCCAGTGCGGATTGGTGGGTGCTAACGACTGCAGATGCAGCCGGGACCAACGGCTTAACGTGCCTTCCGAAGCTCGGAGGAGCTCAAGGTAGTAAAGTTTTGGTCACGCATCCAATGACCGACCGCTGCGAAAGTTGCTTAACTTCAACGATCACAGCCGAACGGGACCAACGGCTTAACGTGCCTTCCGAAGGACGCAGGAGCGAGAGATAACAAGCTGTTGGTCACCCATCCAATTATCGACCATTGCAAAAGTTGCTTAACTAAAATATTTATATTGAAATGTTTTGCTTGTTTCAGACGAGGATGGCGCACAGGACGGCGTGGCTGCTTAGTTTCACTTAGTGATTAAGTCATAAATACACCTTTTGAGTGTACTCGAAATATTTCAATAAATTTTCTAATTTACGCAAACCAGATTTTTATTTTTTGACACCCTATGGATGTTATTATAGTTATTTGCTTAGATTAAAACAAAAAGGGAAGATACCGCACTCGCGGCTCAAAAGTGATCCGCTTAAATTGTGGTGTATGACCACAATTAGCTTTAGTCACAATTGGGCATTCAAACACGCTGCAAGTGCACTCAATATAACAATATTGCATAATATGCCGTGTTATAAAGATAAAACAATGCCTTCGATGCTTTTATAAAGAACACAAATAGTTCAATTGTGACATGGTTGTTATTAGGGTCAACTTAAACTGTTTTATAACATTTGCCTTTGTTCATTGGGAATCGAATGTAGCTGCATAAGTATATACTCATACGGACAGCTTTTAGCTTTGATTTTATATGCAACCCGTTATCTGTAGAATTGTTGATCGAAGGTAATACGCATTCCTTTTACGCACAGGCGGCGTAAGGCGTGGACGACGTGGGCCACCCGCCTACGGCATCGCGGTACAAGTGGCCACGCGCCTCAAAAATTTTTATGCATTGCTTAAAAGCGAATTGCCTATATAAGGGGCCCGGTATGAGAAAAATGTGAGGAGTAAAATGTATCGATGAATGACCTCGTTACGTTTTTACTGTCTACGCTGTAGCAGCCGTAGTGCTACACCGTAGCACAGTATCGTAGCGTACCTTTATTGCCTACGACGACAAAGAAACCGCGTCGGTGTACCACCGCGCCATTCGTTGAACACAAAACCATTGAGCTTTACAAGTAAACGTGGATATGGCATTTACAGTATCAATCTTTTTTAAGTTAAATAAACTCTTTTTGCGTCTGGTTAGACTATCGAATTTAAGGAGTAAACTCCAGTCGTGCGTCGGAGCTGACACACACAATTTTTTTTATTATTTTATAAAATCCCGTCTTCAGGTCGCCACAGAACAGGGCCTCGCGAAATCTGTCTTGCCCACATCAAATTTAGGTCTTGCCCCGCCACTGCTTTTACGCTCACGTGTAATATAACATTTTATGGATGAGAAGGGGTCGAGTCAACCTATTATAACAGGCTCTCATGTTTTAATACGTAATTTTTATTGCAATACTTTATTTTCACTCATAGGAACAATTATTGAAATTAAACCTAGAGTCTTCTGAAAAGACAAAAAGAAAAAAAATTGAAATCTCGAAAACAAAACACGATCGGCAGAAAATTGTATGGGAACCGCGGGAACTTTATTTTAAACTACGAATTCGTTCCTCTTTTTACCCAGCTGCGCAATGCAAGAGCGCGAAGCGCGACGCGCAGACAGGGTTATGTGTTTAACAGTCTATATATGTATGTTTATTCCTTTGTGGCACACTAGAGACCAAACGCCTGGACCGATTTTGATGATTCATACATCAATCGATTCGTCTCAATCATGGGAGTGCTACTAAAGATATGATAGTAATCAAAATTCAATATGGGCAAAATTAGGCGCCATATTGTGACGAAGTAAAAAAAATAAGTTGACAAAATATGTCGAGTGGGATATCACTGTCTAGATAATCAAAAATCATATTTAGGTTCCTAACACCATTTTTCATTTAATATGATTGTTTAGGATCTACAACGCTTTAAAGTTGTATATTAACCACTTACGCTTTTAATTTCAATCTTACATTTGTATGGATCTTTGTTGCTCTTTCACCTAAAAAATACTGAATGGATTTTAATGAAACTTAACAGTAATATAGCTCATATATGATAATTACATATATATAATAATTTATGTAGTTATTGAGTGAATTGGCCAATATATAACAATAAGTGTCACATAAGACGGAAAAAAATCTCCCATCTGCGAGCCATTTTGGCCTGCACTGCGAAAACAATAAATGTTACATGAATGTAATGTAGAGTGAAAATGTATCTCTTAAATAGTTCTAAAAAAAAGTCCGTGTCACCATATATCTATTTTTAATGTGTAAGTCATTATCGGTAAAATAGTGAATCAAAACTAAAATATTATTTGATATCTATTTCCAAAATGCACATTTTGTATTAACAAATCATTTTTTATCAAAACAAATACTTTTATCGCTTTTGATAGTTAAAGACGATAAACTTTGCTTTTTACACTATGTCATTTCGACAAATATTTAAAAAGTTACAACGATGACAAAGTGATAGCGCGGTGTACTATGTAAAAGAAAAAAATGGGCTATTCGCAGTATCTGATCCTATACGAAGCACTAAGAATAAAACTGTGATACAGTTCTTTCTTATTAAATGATGAAAAATATATTATCATAATAGGTATTTATGATTATTGAATTTTAATGAAAAACTCTGAATTTTACTGTTTTTATTTTTTTTAACGATATTACTTAATGTTACAAAAAAGGTTTACTTAATATAATGACAAATAACCCATTTATCGCTAGTAAGTACATACTTATTGGAATCCCTGTATTTATTAATCAGCTCGCGATAATATTGGCTTTGTAATAATTCTACAAAATTCAAAGTAAATAATGTAGATTTTTATAGGTAAATCACCCCTTTCATCACCCTACGCCAATAAGTATTGCGATGTTGTAGCTAAGAACCAAGTTCCCATCTACTTCTATATGAGAATTCATTATATTAGATTTAGCTATTAGGGCACGGAAGCGCAACAAACAAACTCACTTTCACATCTATAATATTATATTATACTTACTAGTGATCCACCCGGGCATTGTACGGGCGTAATTTATTTATCGGGATGAAATAAAGCCTATGTCACTCGGACAAAATGTATTTAAATAAATAAAAATGTAATAATAAATAATGTAGCTACCATATGATGAATTAATATTTGAAACCGGTTCAGTAGTTTGACAATTTGTTACAAACATACAAATCTTGCCTCTTTATAATATTAGTATAGATAGTTAGGATATGATAAGTATTTAATTGATGAAAAAGATTTAAAAATAAAGTAAGTAATAGGTTTATTTGATTATAATTGTAAAAGTTACTCAGCATTTGTGCTTAACAGTTATATTAGATACGTTATTCGGTATTTTTTTAAACAAAAAAAAAAATTGGAAAATAATTGCCATGATTGCCCTACTGGGAGTACTCTTCATTCAAGTTTTACACTACCAATAAAAAAGGGTCGATCACAAAGTCTTTGACCTGTTTTAAGTGAACGCTTTAAAAGAAAACTACAAAGAGAACTATAATTGTTTCTATGAATTATGTGGGTATATCAAATTATGAGACTAGGGACTGACACTGCATTTGTGTATATCACAATCTTAGACGTCAGGCATTGATATGACAATGCAGCCACTGCCAATTTTAAATAGTCAACGAATAAAAGTAAATGAATTTTATATTTACTGTTAAACTATTTAAAAAACATAAACAAAAGATGACTTTTTGAGTAAGTGCTACTTTACTATAAAATTTACATACATTATAGATATTTATGTAACGACTTGATTTAACTTCACACATTTTTGCGAAAATTAAGGCCCATCTGTAGCCTTGACCCCGCTGGTAAAGTCTCTATATGTCTTAATAAATCAATCTTTTAGACCGACGTACTTAATAATTCCCACGATATTAATTCCCTTACTGAAGTAACAAGACTACGGTATATCATTATACCGTCTTAAAATACTAACTAACTAAAAAGTGTGAAATAAAAAAGGTAAATTTAAAAAATCAACTAACTAACTAAAAAGTGTGAAATAAAAAAGGTAAATTTAAAAAATCAAAAAACCCGACTGCTTAATTATACTTCAAATAAAAACTGAAAAGAAAAAAACAAGTCCAGTAGTCTATAATTCTGTTAATAAGGAACAAAGCTACTTCAACAGTCGGGACCCACTGTTGAAAAATATTATGTATTCTTGAATATCTAATGGGTCGCGGCTGTTAAAGTAGCTTTGTTCCTTATTAACAGAATTATAGACTACTGGACTTGTTTTTTTCTTTTCAGTTTTTATTTGAAGTATAATTAAGCAGTCGGGTTTTTTGATTTTTTAAATTTACCTTTTTTTTACATTCAGCCTATTACATAAAAATTTAATAAGGTAAGTACGCCTAAAAAGGGCCGGTTCCAAATAAGGTCCATCTTTTCAAACTTCCCGCACTTAATATTTAAACCAAAACTGATTTTGCGCAGCGCCTCCCCAGTAACCAATCATAAAAGCGCACTGACGTTCATTGCCTCCGCGCCGGCCATTTTGGCAGTGGCTCTGTGTGTAACCTCAGGTGCAGTCGACGTGACTAAACGAATAAAATATTCTGATCCATTTTGCTTTGTTTCAGTAAGAAAACTCGGTGTTATGTAATAATTTTGCAATAGTAATGTTAAAATACTTTCAGAACGTGGATTGTCGGGGCAAGTTACTAAAATTATTGCTTATTTTCTAAGTTTTGTTTCATTTTCTCAGGACACATGTGATTGCCTAAGAAGGTCCAAGTTGTTGTCTACAAATAAGGGCCGGCCCTTATTGGGGGTACGGTATTTTAAAATAGGCATGATTAGTTACATAATTGACTTATATGAGTGTAAATAAGCAGCCTGGCCTTGCAAGTGGCATTTATATACGTTTATTTTGATTACTGAATAGAAAATATATTTAATAAGGATAAGTATATACACACTGAACCTTTAAGTTCAGTGGTTGCCGTGTTACCTGTTAGAAACACTTAATAAGGTCCACACTATGATTAAATAAGTCTTATACCTAATAAGGTCCAAAGATTAATACTGAAAAAATAACTCATTAGTAACTTTTAGTGATTGTCTTTAGTAAAATTAATAAAAATTTGCACAAACCTTCAATTTGTTTTATTTATAGCTAGAAAATATATAAGTTACAACTTATATATATTTCGTATGACTTTATAAGGGCCACAATACTAAATTATATGAATTACCGTTTTAATATTGGAAAGCCATGAAGTTGAAAGTAGTTTAAAGCCGTTGCTGTCTAAAGATTTATTTTTTCTGATACTCAACGTCTGAAATC